ACTCAATCACCCGTTGCCTTTTGTCTAATTATGTACCTTTTATGAATGTTACTCTTTTCAAATATTGACTTTTTTATTGCTTCTCCTACAATTGCAATGGGGGAATTTAAGAGCCCCACAAACTACTTTATCATATAATTAGTTTATCAGTAAATTTGGACCTCATACATCAATCACTATAATGCATAACCTCCACTGAGACAGAAACCAGGTGTGCGTGCTTCTGCTTTCTTCTTTATAGTATCTACAGTGTCATTAGTGCCTATGCTACAGTTTAAATTGAATTCAGCAAAAAGCAATGGTCTTACCCTCCTGCAAGCAATATTACTTCAGGGATAAATCAACATTTTATTGATTGACAACTCATACTCTTTCCCTGCCGCTGTTTGGAAAACAGTGAAGAATGATTTGTGTATGCAAAAAATTATTTTAATTAGTCATGAATAGAAAAAACACCTGGTCCCAAGGTGAATGCCTAATGTGGGCATACTGGGACAGCACCAAGAGGCTTGAAACACTGAATTATCTGAAAGCACCAGAAAGGGGTCTGCCTGCCCTTTTCTTCCCCATGCAATTGTGGTGTGGCTTTCTTTTCCAGTGCCTCTTATGTGTGACATCTGTACATTCCAAATGGGGAAAACATAGCTGGAAGACACAACAAGAGAGAACTCCTTTTGAGTCTACCCAGAAAACATCGGGATGCCTTGCCTTTGCATCCTATGTACCCCAAAAATCCCAAACGGGATGGTTCATGTAACCTCCAAATTTATAGCGCAATTCATGGACTAAGGAGTGGAGCTCTAACCAGAACAGTGTCCCCATGTCCCCAGGACTAGCAGTTGCTTGACAAACTAATACCTTGAACACAATTTTTGGGGGTTCATTAATAAAAATTCTCTTGGAAGTCAGGGTCTGATTTAACAATATGGAACCCAGCTTGCGTGTGCATTAAAAATCCAAACAAGTAATTATTTACGCTACTTTTTCATTTTCCGAGTAATCAAGCACTGGCTGGTAATAATGCTCCAAGGGCTGATTATACCAGCAAGAAACAGCAGCTCCTCTGACCACACCTCTTCCCCAGGAAAATCTCTACACCGATGCAAAAGGCAACACGTTTGTAGCAGAGAAAATGGGAATTTCATGGTTGCATGGAATTAATGGTCCTCATGTTCTCAGCAGAGCTGAGCTGAAGCGCTTCCCACAGAGTGAGGACTTGTCAGGCTGTCTGTAACATGCTTCCTTTCCAAAATTAAAAGAAAAAATTCTGATTGCAAGCAGATTTTTTCAGAGCGGGGCGGGGGCGGTGGCGGGGCGGGGAGGCGGTGCGGAGACTCGGAGCGGGGCAGCGCGGTGCCTACGGCCGCCGCAGCCGCCGGCCGGGGGCGAAGCCGCTCGGCGAGGAGAAGGCGGCGGGGCTGGGCCGGGAGGCTCCGGCGGAGCGGCGGAGTGTGGGATCCGGCCGCGCTGCCCTCCCGCCCCTCATAAAGCTTTGATGAGACACTTGAGACGCCGCCTGTGTTGTCGAGGCGGCGGGAGGCGGTCGGTGGGACTGGGCGCCCGGGAGAGGATGTGACTTCCCGGAGGGGACCCGGACAGGCTTTGTGTGGACGACAAGGTACGCGGCGCCCCGCCGGGAAACTTAAGGGGCCGGGGGCAGGGGGTGCGGGCGGCTGCGGAGCCGGGCGGGCGCCGGCCGGCGAGAGGCGTCGGGGAGCGGTAAGGGCGGGCGAGGGCCGGCGCAGCCCGCGCCCCTTTGTTCCCGCACTTGTCGGTGCGGCCGGTGCCCGGCGGGGCTTCTGTCGGGGCCGGCGGCAGCATTTTCAGAGTATATCCCTTCTCCTTCACTCCTGAGAAAAAGCCAGCAATGTTTCTAAAGCATGGTATTTGCTGTTGCTCATCTGCATGTCTAGTGTCCTAGCAGAAGAGCCTTTCCTCCAGGAATAACAAGTGTGCAGTGTATTACATTACAGCTGATTAAAGTAGCCTCTCCTGCTGCTGTTTAACTTGTCTGGTAGATCATCCAAATACTTGCAGGCACCATCTTATAAACACAGAATATTGGAACTGTGCTGTTTTGTGACTGTGCAAAAAGGCTGCTGGAAACACGCTGCCTTGGTGCAATCAGGTACCCGCACTAACACAGCCGTACCTGGAAAGTTAAATGGTACTGTGGAGCGAAGGCTAAAACAGAAAAATAAAATGCACGCGTTAGCTTAGCAAATACCAGGTACAGTCATGCCTTTGAAACGCCTCTGGAACATCCACCCGGCATTGTTGCTGGGAGTTGTAAGCTTATATTGGTATATCAGAGTGGGGAAATGAATGGTTGATGCATCCCCAATGGCAGAATTTGAATAAAAATAGCAGAGCAGGACTTGGCCTGAAGAGCTACCTGGATTAGTGACTGTCCATCAGCCAGCAAGGGCTGGACATGATTCCTCAGGCCCAGGCTGTTAGTGAGGGCTTTGAAAAGGTCTCCTTTCTCGTAAATTGGATAGATTTGGACTGGAAAACACTGAGACAAAAAGAGGTAGAACTGTCTTCACGCTCACTGACATTTTTAGTTCAAACACGTGAAACCAAACCCCCAAGTGCAAGAAGGATGGTGATGTGGTACTCAAGCAGGATTTTTTAAAAAGTTCTTAAAGCTGCAAAGGTTATTAACCACCAGGAATCTTTCCTTTAATATATATTAAAAGCTGATTCATATGGAAGGCCTTAGGTGTACTCAAATTTCAAACACCTGGGTTATTTTCTTTACTGATAAATGCAGGTGTTTCATAGCAAAAGCACACAGGCAGTCAGACTGTCTGAGGGCAGCAATGAGTTGCACACATTTCTCCTAGGATAAATAAATTTTCACAAGTGCGCGGAGTGAATGGGCCTTTGGCATTAATTGCAATTAGATGGCAGTCAGGCTTTGAGGTGTAGAAAAATACGTGTTTTAACCAATTCATGAAAGAGTTGTGCTAGCTTCTTCTGAAATCAGCTGTTTCCAATTTTGCCTGGGAGGGAAGAGGGGAGGGAAGAGGCGAGGCTGCCACAGCCCATGCCAGGCAGGGGGTGAAGCCAGCTCTTCTCGCACAGCTCGCTCCTGCCGCTGGCACACGCGTGCGCTCCCGCTCGCCGCAGCCCGGAGCGTGCCATCTCCCTGTCTTTACCGAGATCAAATGGAGCCAGTCAATCAGGGGATACCATTATTGCCTCCGCCATTCAATTTCCACTATCAATAATTTACTGTACTTGCTGCACGCGCAGGAGGAGGAGATGGCCAAACAGATTTTGGTCAGGGGGTACGGGATGCGCCCCGCGGGCGGCCGGGCAGAGCCGAGCCGGGCATTCCCCCCGACAGCCCCGGGCTCCGCGGTCGGCCCCGTCTCCGCCGGCGGGCGCTGATGCGACGGGCGGCCCCGCTGTCGGTCTCGGTGCCGGTCTCGGTCCCGTCCCGGTCCCGGGCTGGGCAGAGCCGCCTCGGGACCGCTGGGACCGAGCTCCCGCTGGGCGCCTGCAGAAAGTCACCGGTGTAACGTTACCTGGGGCGCTCATTAATAAGCAATGCCTGTTATTATCTTGATTGCATTCTTAATAGGCGAACTACGGAGAGGTCAGCGCGGGAGCGATATTTAAATGGATTGGGCTTGCTTAATACCCGGCGGAGTAAACCAATATCCCGCCGCGGGCGGACCGACCCCCCCCGCCCCGCTCCCCGCTCGGGAAGCGCCGGGGGAGCGGAGCGGAGCGGGGCCGGGCGGGCGGGGCGGGGGCGGTGGCGGGGAAGCCGCTCGGCGAGGAGAAGGCGGCGGGGCTGGGCCGGGAGGCTCCGGCGGAGCGGCGGAGTGTGGGATCCGGCCGCGCTGCCCTCCCGCCCCTCATAAAGCTTTGATGAGACACTTGAGACGCCGCCTGTGTTGTCGAGGCGGCGGGAGGCGGTCGGTGGGACTGGGCGCCCGGGAGAGGATGTGACTTCCCGGAGGGGACCCGGACAGGCTTTGTGTGGACGACAAGGTACGCGGCGCCCCGCCGGGAAACTTAAGGGGCCGGGGGCAGGGGGTGCGGGCGGCTGCGGAGCCGGGCGGGCGCCGGCCGGCGAGAGGCGTCGGGGAGCGGTAAGGGCGGGCGAGGGCCGGCGCAGCCCGCGCCCCTTTGTTCCCGCACTTGTCGGTGCGGCCGGTGCCCGGCGGGGCTTCTGTCGGGGCCGGCGGCAGCAGGAGCGCGCTGCCGGCGGCGCGGGGCCGGCGGAGCGCGGGGCCCGGCGGCGCTTCCCCGACGGCGGCGGGCGCGGGGCGCGGCGGC